GACCCTCCCAAAATCCCCCCTCGAGACCTCTCAAAAATCTTCCCGAAGGCCCCCAGTTGTCCAAGAGCCCCCCCCAAAGTCCCCCTAGACCTCCCCCTATTCCTGTGCCCCCCCCCCTAAAACCTCACCCATAGAAGTGCCCCCTCACAAACTCCTGCACCCGCGCCTTGCTCTGGGCGTGCAGGTTCTGGAACTCGTGCATGGCTGAGAACTTGCGGACGTTGAGGCCGTTGGGGGTCACCAGATCTGTGGGGAGGGGGAGATGGGGGTGTCAGGATCCCCATGGGGGGGTCAGGGGCCCCATGGGGGGGGTCTTAGGGCCTCTATGGGGGTTTGGGGGTTCCTGTGGTATTGAGGTCTCTGTGAGGATTCCAGGATCACCCATGGGAGGATCAAGAATCCCCTAGGGGGTCTTTGGGTCCCCTTCGGGGGTCTCAGGATCCCCACAGTATTGGGGCCTCCTTGGGATCCGTCAGGATCTCCACGTGGGTCTGGGGTCCGTGTGGGTTTAGTGGTCCCCACATGGGTCTGAGGTCCTCATAGGATCTCCATGTGGGTCTGGGGTCCCTGTGGGGATCTCAGGATGCCTGTGTGGGTCTGGAGTCCCCATAGGGTCTCAGGATCCCCGTGTAGGTCTGGGGTCTCTGTGTGGGTTTAGGGGTCCTCACGTGGGTCTGGGGTCCCTGCGGGGGTCTCAGGATCTCACGTGGGTCTGGGGCCCCTGTGTGGGTTTAGTGGTCCCCATGTGGGTCTGGGGTCCCCATAGGGTCTCAGGATCTCCATGTGGGTCTGGGGTCCCTGTGTGGCTGGCTTTAGGAGTCCCTACGTGGGTCTGGGGTCCCCGCGGGGGTCTCAGGATCTCCACATGGTTCTGGGGTCCCCGTGGGGGTTTAGTGATCCCCACATGGGTCTGGGGTCCCCGCGGGGGTCTCAGCATCTCCACGTGGGTCTGGGGTCCCTGTGTGGGTTTAGGGGTCCCCATGTGGGTCTGGGGTCCCCATAGGGTCTCAGGATCTCCATGCGGAACTGGGGTCCCCACGTGGGTCTGGGGTCCCTCCTGGCCACACACCAGGCTTCCTTTTGAGGAGGTGCTCAGCCTCCCCGGCGGTGACGTGCGACACGGTGGTGAGGACGTGTGCGCAGTGCGCGGCCGCGCGCTCCAGGCAGTAGCGGTGGTAGATCTGCCGCTCGCCCGCCTCCTTGTCCACGTCGAACTGCAAAACGGAGCCGCAGGGCCTCGACCTCCTGGCCCAGCCCTCCCAGCATGCCC